GCTCCATGCACTCCAGCTGGTCACTGACATACAGGGTAACGCCCCCTCCTCGTCTGCCCTGCCTGTCCTTCCTAAAGAGCCTGTACCCTTCCATCCCAACACTCCAGTCATAGGACCTATCCCACCATCCCAATCTGTAGATAACTGCCACCCAAACATCTCACAGAGAATCTCCAGTTTACAAGTTACTTTCCTTAAAAGAAGCTATTGAAGAATGCCACTTGTTTTAAACAAATGTGAATGTGTTTACTTTTTTTTTTAAATGCATGCGTTTTAAATTCTCAGCAATTTTTAGTGACTAATGGGCTACACGTTGCCTAAAAAGCCATTGTTGGTCATAATGCAAAAAGGATTGCCTGGCTACCTCCTTCAATAGGAGTAAGAGCACAGAATGCATTACATGCTTTTAAACAACATCATTCTATACAAATTACATCATTTTAATTAGATTGTTAAAAGACTAAAGTCCAAACCCATGAAGAGTACAATCACCCATTAAAACTCTGGTCTCCAACTGGATTTAAACATACACATCATACTGATTGGTAAAAAAAAAAATCCCAAACAACAACAAAATCTTATTATTAAAGATTAAATTCTCCTCAATGATAAAGTGCATTTGATTTTAAATCATTTGCTTAATATCAAGGGAGAACATCTGAAGAAAAAAAATTGAGAGCTATTCAAAAGCTCTCAGCAGCATCACCACACTAACCAAGTGGTTTTCAACTAAAATGTTCCCAAATGGAATCTAAAGTATTTGTCTAATTTTCTTTTTTTAAGGTCCTTGAGGCATATGTACATTAACTCATTCACAGAACTGTCCAAACCCAGCAGTTACAAACCTCTCAAACATGGAATTTATTCAAACACTTTCTTCAGTCATCTTTGCACTTCATTTACACTTTATTTCTATGGACATTTCTATAGGAGATTTATCCGTTCAGAAATTGGTTATCTTCCATCAGACAAGCTTTGTTTTTAGTAATATAATGAGGAATGAAAATAAATCAATCTACACTAATTCCCACCCCCAGAAGATGAAACTTACAAGCATTTAAAAAAATGAACAAAAATATTTCTTAGCAAGAATTCTACTTAGTAACTGGTTTTGTGCCAACAGTCACACTTAAAATATGAATAGGACATAGGAGCATTTTTCTTTAGAAACAGTAATTTGAGAAATAAAGTGGGATGCCTTTTAAAAAACCCCTATATTTTCAAATGTTTCTTCTCTGACAAACAGCCTATCACATTTCTACATCATTCTGGATATATCAGTTCCTACTCTTGGAAACTGGACAAGTTAGAATCTACAAAGTAGTCTTCAGACTGCATGAGGCTACATATATGCATACCAAGCAACAAGAGTTCGACTTCCTCATGTTCTGCATACAGCAATGTCCTCACTCATGCAAATGTGAGTTACAAACCCATATTTTCAGTAGGCACTAACAAGTCCTTGACATGTCAGCTACTGTTATTATGGACAGCAACTGTTAAGTTTGAAAATAAACTTAATTTATGTGATACACATGCAGAAAGTATTAATCTGTCCTGCTTTGCAACTTTCACCATTTGAAGTATACAGTAATGAAACTGGTTTACTTTACATTATAGCCCTATCAACTTAGAACTTCACTCTTTGCCTTGCCCTATCATGCTTTCACCATTTCTCTTATGAATTCCATTTGCTATTCAAGTGTTCCAATACCTCTTAACTATCGCCTTCTATTAATCCCTCCTGAAGTGCTTACATCTAAAACAATGAGGAAAATAGCTCATAATACACATGAAAAGATTGCCCTGTGCAAACAGATAAGCCTCTTTGCTTTCAAAGATTTTTATGCAACCAAGCAACATGTCATGATTTCATTACTAGAAGATGATTCAAGGATCCATAGTAAAAAATTACTAAAATGATGACTTGGCTTTATCCAAAGGCTGCAAAGTTTGAACACAGGTATCAGAAAACTATAGCTCAAGAGAAATCAGCATGTATTCATACGAGAAATTAAAACTTTTCTAATGTAATTAATTATGAGGTTTTCTCAGAATTAGTTCCTTAAATTATCATGAAACTTTATCGAATAACCTACTCTTCATTGAAAAGTGAGAGACTGGAAAGTCAATTCAATATTCTCTCACATAAGAAAAGCAAACCCAGATCACAATTTCTACAGTGCTCCAAAACTACAGGAGCCTGAGAAAGATACTACAGACTCAAAGTGAAGTATAAAGAGTAATCAGACATTGCTGAAAGCAGAAACCGTAAGCTACAACATTTGTACACTGAAAAACATTTATTTCAGGAACTACAAAGGTTTTTATACAAGATTCAATTTGAAAATTATTCTGAATACTTAGAATAATCATAGAATCATTGAATAGTTTGGGTTGGAAGGGACCTTTAAAGACCATCTTGTCCAACCCCCATGCAATGAGCACGGACATCTTCAACTAGATCAGGTTGCCCAGAGCCCCGTCCAGCCTGACCTTGAATGTTTCCAGGGATGGGGCATCTACCACCTCTCTGGAAAACCTGTGCCAGTGTTTCACCACCCTCATGGTAAAAAAAAAAAACAAAACCAAAAACCAAACCCAAAACCAAAAAACCACTTCCTTATATCTAGTCTGAATCTACCCTCTTTTAGTTTAAACTTGTCCTATCACTACAGGCCCTACTAAAAAGTGTGTCCCTATCTTTCACATAAGCCCCCTTTAATTACTGAAAGGCTGCTCTAAGGTGTCCTCAGAATCTTCTCTTCTCCAGGCTGAACCACCCCAAGTCTCTCAGCCTTTCTTCATAGGTGAGGTGCTACAGCCCTCTGATCATCTTTGTGGCCTCCTCTGGACTCACTCCAGCACCACTCAACCTGCCAGTCACACTGCTTTTTATGCAGCCCAGGATACGGTTGGCTTTCTGGGCTGCGAGCACATACTGCCAGCTTATGTCCAGCTTTTCATTCACCAACACCCCCAAGTCCTTCTCCTCAGGGATGCTCTCAATCCCTTCATCCTCCAGCCTTTACTGATACCTGGGGTTGCCCTGACCCAGGTGCTGGACCTTGTACCTGGCCTTGTTGAACCTCATGAGGTTCACATGGGCCCATTTCTCAAGCTTGTCCAGGTCCCTCTGGATGGCATCCCTTCCCTCAGGCGTGTCAACTGCATCACTCAGCTTGGCGTCATAAAATTCTAATTCATTTCAGTATTTATTCCATTGAATTTTATCAGTCAAAACTAAAAATGCCTAAACTTCTGCTAGGAAAAAAACAAAGCAGCCTCACTGCTTTTAATAATATTATGGTGATTTACAGCAGCTAACTATTTAAAGAATATAAAATTGAGAAATAAAAAAAAAGATAGCATAGATTTCAATACTTCAGCTTTAATACCTCAAGTGCCCTTTAACTTAAGTTTATGAAAAATTGGAGAAAAGTTCAATTTGCTACTGACTTGTATTAAAAATTTAAATGAGATTCATTGGCATCAATAATTTACTACCTAATCAGCTTGGGCTTACTACAGACTTGGGCCATGTACATCATCATCAATACTTACAGGGTCTTGACAGCTCAGAACCTCCAGGATGCTATTGAGTAATTCAATACAGTACTTCTTCTCTACGGCCTGCTGATCATCCTTCTGTTCCAGTAATTCCTTCAGCTCTTTTGTAATCACCGGAAGCAGAATGTCCCTGCATTCTGAAATAAAGCAAATTATCTTAACAAATATAAATCAAATACTACTTGCAAATAAATCCTTCTCCAAACAGTGAAACACAATGTACTTTAACAACTACAATCCCTTCCAATATGGAATTGTTGATTTTCCAATCATGCCTCAGGGATACTCTTAAACTTGTGTGATATTTCTGTAAGTCAATAGTATTTCTCATATATGAAAAACAGAACTTCCTGATAAAAATTATTTGTTTCAGTTAAATTCTGAAGGCTGTTTAGCTTGTCCCAAATCCTTAGGGACAAATTGTTCACTTTACGTACAAAGCAGCTGGAAATAAGCTATGTTGAAGTAATGACAGGAAAAAAATACTACACCTATTAAATTTTTCTTTCTGAAAATAAGACACAAACAGCAATAGAATTGTTCTATGCACATCATTTTGAAACATACCTTCTAAGAACACATAAAAGAATGCAGACAAAGAAAAAACTCTAAGGAAAGGCCTATCAAGCCCGTGAGTAAGCTACACATACATTCATCCTTATTTAAATCTAAGGAAGCTGACACAAATATTAAGTTACATTTCAATCTTGCATCTACATTGACTTAAGTCAAAGGTGCTTATGGTAAATGTTGGTACAACAAAATGCACAAATTTGAAGTAACTTCAATGAAGGCACTGCCTACCTGGGAATAAAAGATACAGAAGACTTTTTTTTTTTTCCTAATTTAATTGATAAATGCTACTGATTTAAGTAGCAACTTACTGTACAGTGCAATGTAATTAAACAGAGTACCGCACAACAGTGTAAATAATGCTGAGCAGATGCTTCAAATATTTATTATATTTATGAAAATAACCTAGGAAGAAATCAGAGCTGAATGTAGCTTCAAAGGTTCCACCTCAGAATAAAATTTGTATAGAACTACAGAAACAGTCTAGTCACAGACAGTGAGCTGAAGTTCCTACTCATTTCCACTCAACTGATTTCTTATTGCTTAGAATTCTTGTCAGTCTTAACTCTTTGGAAAATTATCTGTATCACCAATTGAATACTATTTTCTATCAATACCACGTATCACAGTTTCTGAAAACATAATTGAACAAAACTAGAAAACTTCTTAATTATTGCAAACAAAAATGAAAATGTGGCTTGCTTTTTTTTTTTCTTTTAAGAAAGATTTAGAACACCTTTACCCAGACATACAGCATACACACTGATAACCAAGTGGTGTGTGAGACGTGCTGAAACTGTATCCACTGTGATTTCAAAAACAAGCCAGGTGGTCAGAATCCCCTAAATAAAGGTGCTAGTACGGGTAGATAGGAGGCTAAGAAAGAAAGGAAAAGAATGAGAAGTAAATTACAAATTTCTGAATTTTGTGGATGAAGCAACAGAGGCTACCCATGCAGATTATTCTTATTTCAAGTATCAGCTCCAAGCCATATAAAGCCAGAAGCTTTTAATCATATCTAAGTGGCAGCATAATTTCTTGTCTCGGAAAGTATCTCTACTCTTGGTAATGCCACAACATGAATAAAAAGCTATTTATCTGATTTTCTATAACCCTTGTTTCCAAGCTACAAGAGAAATCTTACTCAATGACTAAATTACAAACTGACTAGTAAAACAGTAGTTAAAAGAACACTTATCAACACAAGATCTGTTCAAAGAGCAGCATAAAAAAGAATTTCACACAGCTTACAGTTCATTTATGTGACCAATTCTGCACACAGACAAGCTTCCTGCACTTAATGCAGGCCACAGACTACCCCGCTGATTCAGCAACCAAATAGCTGCACTTATAAAGCACTTAGTAGAGCTTACTACCAGGGTGCACTAACACTCCTAAACCACTTCAGTGTGGATTTGTGACCATGGAGACAGAGGAAAAACTCCCCTCCAAAGGTCATCAGTACTGACAGATATGTAGTCACCAGATGTAGACATCAAACATTATACAGTTTTCTAAAACTGAGATGTAATTTAATAATTAGCAAATTTTTTCTTGATTTGCTCTGATGAACCACTTCTAATAACTAATTGCAAATGCAACAAATGCAGTGCCATTAGCTTCTTGACCAAAAACTAAACCAAAGAAACATCATTAGCAATGTTAAAAGTTACATGCAATACCTTCAAAACTTGCTGAAATGTGATAGTTAGTATTTTTTTTTTTTAAATAAAGGGTTTTTATATTCAGTCATCAAATAAGTTATAAATTAGACTATTACCTACCTACTTTTGAAAAAAGCTACAAAACAAACTTTAAGTCTGTTTTCATTGCAATCTGTGGAAACTGTCCCTCAATTGTCTAGGGTTATTCAGGGGGGAAACAGTTCATAGTATGATCAGTTCAAGATTCATTCATCAGGGTTCTGACCTTTCCAAAAATATTTAAGATTTTTTTTTCCTTTGGACATAACATTTATTGCTAACCAAGTTCCATTTCATGATGGTTATGAAAAAGACCACAAGCATATTAGCATTCATTCCCACTACAGAGTTGAGCTGAAAGAATTGTCAGCTTCTCCATACAGTCCGTATGCTGCTAAGATAGAAGCTGCACATCACCCCAGCAAGATACATGCAAGGAACTTGTTTATGAAGTTGTAAAAGAGAAATTAAAATGAGATTGCAGTGGATTTCCAGTCTGTTACTGAAAGATGGCATGCATTTATCAGATTTTAAAGTGGATCAGGAAAAAAAAAAAAAGGACTGACAACTGAAACAAGCAGTTCAGATTGGATGTAATGAAAAACTTCTTCCTCATGAAGACAGCGAAGCAGTGGAACAAACAGGTTGGCCAGTCTCTGTCCTTAGTAAAAAGTACAGAGACCGTCTTTTTGGTAAAAGAAATAAGTTTTTCAGATAATTCTTCTGCATAAAGCCATTCCATAGTTCTTAAACATTAAGAAAGCAAGGCTTCTTGCGTATACAAATTTATCCTATTGTACTGAGGACAACTAAGGCAGAAGGTACAACTGATCTCCACCAGTTTTAAGAGCTAATTACTCTGCAAGCTTCATTACTCCCAGTTGTACTTTGTATTATAAATTAAAATTTGATCCATATTTGAAACATACAGAATCTATTAAAAGGACTTAACATATGCAGCTGCTCAATTATTTACAATGCATTTTCAGACATGAACAATGTTGAAGTGTCAAACCATGTGAAAATTCAAAGGTCATTTAACTCGCTTTAGCTTTATTATTTCCTTTTTTAAACAAACAACACGCAAAACCAACACCACCACCCTGCAATAGCAATTAATGGAAAAATTGTTCAATATATTTTTATAAGCAAATTGTACTTTTTGTGTTAATTATTTTGGTTTAGATTAAGGCTATATACCTGTATTTTGTGACTGGCTGCTACATAAACTGAGCTTGTTAGTTAAGGCAATATGGGAGAATTACTTCATTTTGTGTGTAGTAAACAACTCAGATAATGTACTTCTAGGACATTTATTCATAACAAAAGACTATAGTCTCAGAAAAGGAAAATTAATTAGATTTTTTAAGATCCCTACCAGTTAAAGTCATCCCACATGAGGACGCAATTCTAAGATGTTCTGATGAACACTTACAATTACAATAGTTACAAGAAAAGACTAGTATTTGTAACAAAGAAGCCCTGGTCTCAGCCCGAGCCTGCAGATGGACTAGTATTAACATAAAATGGTCGTCATGCCTTCTGATCTTTAAAAAAACCATTAAAATAATTTCGTTAAAACATTATGCAAAATATGAATTTTCTTGGGACAAAGAAAATTTTATTGAACAGTTATATAAATCCCAGACTATAATATTAAGGTATCATTGCACAAGTTAAGTAAGCAAAATGAGCAAAGTGCTCATTTGAGCATCAACGAGTCATTGGCTAGGAAAAAGGAGAAAAAAAAATTAGAATCATGGGAGACAGTAATCAAGAAAAGAAATAGCCAAAGTAAAATTTTCTGTTGTAGTATTTGATGATCTGGACTCAGTAATGAGTGCCACCTCAGTCAGTTTGCAGACAAAACCAAGTTGGGCAGGAGCGTTAATCTGCTTGACGGTAGGACGGCCCTTCAGAGGAATCTGGACAGGCTGGATCAATGGGCCGAGGCAGCTGTATGAGGTTCAACAAGGCCAAGTGCCAGGTCCTGCACTTGGGTCACAACAACTCCAGGCAACACTACAGGCTTGAAAGCTCCCTGGTGGAAAAGGACCTGGGGCTGTTGGTCAACAGCCAGCTGAATATGAGCCAGCTGTGTGCCCAGGTGGTCAAGAAGGCCAACAGCATCCTGGCTTGTATCAGAAATAGTGTGGCCAGCAGGACTAGGGCAGTGATCGTGCCCCTGTACTCGGCACTGGTGAGGCTGCACCTCGAGTACTGTGTTCAGTTTTGGGCCCCTCACAACAAGAAGGACATCAAAGTGCTGGAGCATGTCCAAAGAAGGGCAACAAAGTGGTGAAGGGTCTAGAGTACAAGTCTGATGAGGAGCAGCTGAGAGAACTGGGGTGGTTTAGTCTGGAGAAAAGGAGGTTGAGGGGAGACCTGATTGCTCTCTACAGCTAACTGAAAGGAGGTTGTACCCAGGTGGGTGTTGCTCTCTTTTCCCAAGTAGCAAGCAATAGGATGAGAAGAAACTGCCTCAAGGGTTATCAAGCACTGGAACAGGCTGTCCAAGGAAGTGGTTGAGTCACCATCCCTGAAGGTATTTAAAAGATGTGTAGACATGGCGCATAGGGATGTGGTGGACTCCGCAGTCTTAAGTTTACAGTTGGACTTGATATTTGGGGTCTTTTCCAATCTAAACGATTCTATGATTAAGCAATCCACATGTACACATTTCCCCCCTGTACCCCAAGAAAGCTCAAGACAGATAGGGGAGAGACATGGGGGGCAGGCAGATGCCTATTTAAGTACTAGCTGGCTTTTTGCTTGATAAATAATGTGATAAGATTGCCAAAGACAAATATACTCTTTCTTAATGTTCAAACCCATGAAAAGACAACTGTTTTGATTGGCTG